ATTTCAATACCTACCTTCTCTCTCTATACCCTCTAGATTCGTTTATTCATAAAAATAATATGAATTCACCGAGATTCATTAAAGTGCGCTCTAAAAAATTAGCGGATGGCGCAACTGTTTCAACAAATTCATGGAAAGACCTACACACATTCTCTTCTGAATTGTGAACGCAACAAAAACACATAACACAACAAATAGTTATTTTAGCAATCCGTCGATAATAAATATACAGGTTGTTTCATCCATATTGCACAAAACTTCGAGGTCATGTTTTGTGGGTGAAAATAAGAAGAGAAGTTCAAATAAACATATGTCCGAAAACGATTCCTTTACAAGATACAGGGTGCTCAAGTTCCTTGAAAAAACCGATTTTTTGTTAATTTCTTTAATATGCCTGCACCGATTGTGATAATATTCACAATGTCTGTTGAAATCAAAATGAGGTATTTTGTGAACTCAATACAGTTGATAAAGTATTATCAGGGGGGCCCCAATGGTCAAGTTTGATTGTTTTTTGCACATAGAATAACACCCAGTAGATTTTTGTCGCAATTTTGCAATTTTTTTGATTGAAGCAACTTAATACACATATTTTTTGTCTCTTTAGTTCCGATAAGAAGAATTTGTAGTTGCTCGTTTACGAAATCAATCATGTAACCATGGCGAAAGAGAAACTAACGTACTTTTCAATGTCAATTTAGAAATAATTGAAAAATAGATTTTTTCAAGAAACTGGAGCACCCTGGATCTCGGAAACGAATTGTTTTCGGACATATGTTTACATGAACATTTTTCATTATTTTGACCCAAAAAATACGACCTCGAAGTTTTGTGCGATATTGAATAATCACCCTGTAGACATGATTGATTCAAGCTGGTGAAAAACCTAACTAATATAGTCATCAATCGATACATTATTATGAAGAAAACAATTGAAGAGTGGTAACACCATATTTTTCTCCCATCATGGTTGTAGATAGAAAAAAACTCACCTTCAACTCTGTTTGCTCGGCTTTGGGCACTTACGATTGGACTGTCATTACTAGTAATCAATAAGTATTTCAGGCTATGACTGATTTATTACTCACCATTACTGAATTAGTTTTTCATCGAACTATGCAGTCTGTAGTTTGACGGACAGATATTCATTTCATTGTCATTAGGAACTTTCAAAATTCGGAAAGTGATCATGAATTATAAACCCCAATTTGCATATTATTGAAGAATAAAAGCTCATATTTAATGGAAGGAGCACAAAGCCATCTTCACTCCTGACTTGATTGATGCTTTGTATTTGTAGTCGTGACGATCACTTTGTGCTTTTTCTTCGAATATGAATCCCCTTACTTTGATATATCGGTCAACAACTGGAAAATAACAAAAATAGAAAATGTGCATTTTTCTACTTCTTACTCGGTAAGTACTTCATTTTGATACTGATTTGAGGGAGGAAAACACGTTCTACCTCCCTAGGGAGGTAAGTGAATATTTACCTCCCTAGGGAGGTAGAACGTGTTTTCCTCCCTCAAATCAGTATCAAAATGAAGTACTTACCGAGTAAGGAGTAGAAAAACATTTTTTTTTAATCTAAGGGAACTGGAGTAGAAAAAATATAATACAAAACTCGGGAGGCAGTGTTCTTGACCAGTCTCGGACTATTTTGCAAGCCCTCGCAATCGCTCGGGCGCAAACAATGTCCTCGACTGGTAAGTATCACTTGCCTCCCTTGTAGTGTAAATAACTATTTCTGGGTGTATTATTTGATTCAGATTTGTCCTATAAAATTCACTATCCAAGATGTTGACCTCTAAATATTATCAAATTAGCAATTTCAAAATAACAATTGATATCACATTTGTTCACCTTACTCAAATGAAATACAGTTTAGGATTAGTTATGGAATTTGTATTTGGGGGAGCTGTCCTCATTCTAAAAATGCTTTGTCACAGAAAAGAATTCAAAGATGTTTTTAGTCACTTGAGGATTTCAACTATTTATGACGATTATTTAACCCTTTGCGGGCAGCATTCAGAAATAAACGATATTCATGGATTATTTCGAGTTATCTGATTCAAAATGGCTAAATATGCAACGTGTATTTTTTTGAAATTTTTATTTCATCAATGAAAAAACAAAAAAAGGTGGTATGCTACTCATACCACAAAGCAACACAACAAACTAGATCAATTATTTCTTATGAAAGTTTCGAAAACAGTTCTTCTTATCAGACAAACATAATGCTACGCCACATGTATCACAGGCCCATTTGGACCTTCTTTGGTGGTCTCGGGTACTACATAGTGCACATCTTCTATAACTTCCGTAAACTGGCATATGCAACGCCTGATCCCACCTCCTCTCAAGCGGTACATTTGGCTTGTAATTATTGATCTTCCGTTCCGTACTTGATCTACCTTTTTTTGGTACCTCATTTCCAGCTCCTACCAATCCTGACGCTATAGCTAGACGAAAAGCCTTCAAATTCATGCTCCTACTGTTTTCACTACGTTCTTGATAGATTATAAAAGCATTGACTACGCTGACATCGATGAAGTGCCAGAATATACGTGGCCACCATTTTTTACTCTTTCGATCGATTTCATAAGTTTTCTTTAGCATGTCTGCTTTGTCTACGAAGCCCATGTTTTTGTTGTAGTTCTTCAAGACTTTGGGACAAGGAACTGTTTCCATTTCACCATTCTTCTTTTTCCTCACCACATTGTCAGTTTCAGATGGATTTTCGCAGTTGGAAGCTAACAGTACTATTCTTTTGTCCATCCATTTTACACAAGAAATCCTATCATCAGTCATTCGCCAATCGAAATTACCACGCTTCAGCTCTCTATCAGCTTTGAAATCTCCTGGTATTCCTTTTCTATTCTTTCGAATAGTACCTGTTGCGTGGATATTTTCTGCACGTAACTGTCTGAGTAGCGGTAATGAGGTGAAATAGTTATCAAAATATACGGAATAATGCTTCCCAACTAACGACCTCGTCAAATCCTTTATAACCCGAGGTCCTAATTGTGTTTCCACAGTATCATTGGCTTTCCCTGTATATATTTGGAATTCGTCGATGTACCCAGTGGTATCTGCTCTAGTCCAAACTTTATAGCCCCATTTTATTGGTTTGTTAGGCATGTATTGTCGAATTGACGATCGACCTTTGAAACAAATCATAGATTCATCTATTGATAATGTATCGTGCATTTTATAATAAAAACTGAAATTATGCGATATCGAATCAAGAAATGGGCGCAGCTTATAAAGTTTGTCATAATTAGGGTCACCACGATTTGGCTGAAGGGCGTTATCGTTCAAATGGAAATTTCCTAACATCCAATCAAATCTTGTGCGACTCATCAGAGTTGGAATATAGGAATCCCTCAACTCACTTTGTGTCGACCAGAAATCTCGATAGCTTGGTAACTTTTTTATACCCATCAAAATATTGATTGCTAGAAATATTTTCATTTCCTTGATATTCACAGGAACGAATGTTTTTCCACATTGAGTTGCATAAAGGTTGGTTTGAAAAACGAAATTTTCAATAATTTCTGCATCTAAGAGACACCCAAAAATATCAATAGGTGATTCAATATCATCAGGAATGTTTGTGGGCCCAACACTTTCTGAAAATATTGCTCCATTACCTGTATTAGTAAACGTAGATGATTTTTTCCAAATGAATTTATCTATTGGCACTAAATGAGATAATGGAATGTCATCTTCATCATCCCCAGGATCTGATAAATTTTGGATCGAGGCAACACTGAATCCATCCAGAGAATCCTCGATATCCAATGCAACAGCAGTGCTTTCCTCCATATCATAGTCATCTAAAATCATGGGAGCAACAACATCTTCCTCCTCATCTTCGTTACGAAATTCATCGTCAGATTCTCCATCTGAAGGAATTTCTGCCAATAGTGCATCTATTTCACCATCACCCAAGTTTTCTAAATCCACAAAAGACCATACGTTTCTTTCTGCAACGAATAAAAATATTGTACCTCCAAGAATACTTTGTTTCTTGTTCTTTGTTCACGCGTTGTGGTATATTTGGAATACCACAAATAAATGACGATCAACGGCAATACTCATGAGTGAAAAATTTGAATCTATGTATATTCATATACTAATACTATGGAGCAATGTTTTTCATGTACTTACTTGCCATTTTTTAAGTTTTATTATACTGAAATCAGCAACGAATATTGATGAGCAACAAACAATAGCACAACAAAATGAACTGATTCACTGTAAACATTCATCGCAAACTGACCGCATTGTTTTTGCGCCAAAGAAGAGGGGAGTATTCACAAGTAACTATCAGGTTAGTGGTACGCATGAAAAACCACAAAGCAGGACCGATTATGAATTTTATATTTGTGGTATGTTCAATGTACCACTGAGCTCGAAAGGGTTAAGGAATAGTGATATTTATGCTCATGACACAAGATTAGAATCTTCTCTTTATCTTGCCAATGAATATGAAATTACCTATAGTAATGGGAATCAAACATTACAATAGTCTGCCACAATGTTTCAATATTACTTTGGTGCATAAATTTGAAGAAAAAACTAAAAATTTGCTCATTGACATGTGTCCATATTCCGTTGGAGAAGAATTTCAAGATATTCGTTGAATTATGCCCAAACAGATATATATATATATATACTTTGATCTGAATTTTTGATGTACCTGTATGTTTCTAGCTTTTTTGTGATACCACGTTATTTTATATTGTATTTTAAGGTGGATGTTCTAGTTTTGGCTAGACTTTTTGATTTTAATGAATAAAAGTTTATTTCAAATATGTACGTACTTTATTGGAAATATTGAATAAACAATGAGAAGAATTACAAAGTTATCATATGATTGATTGGAATAAATAAGTAGACAGCCAGTTAGAATATTTAGAGGAATATGATGAATTCACCCTGAAGCACTGTTCAAATTAATCAAGTGAAGATATAAGCATTATTAATGACTAGACTTAAACCTCGGACCATTCAAATGGCTCTGGTGGTTCAGGCTCCTTTTCATCTTCGCCCTTTGGACCGAAAGCTGAAAAGATTAAGGTTTGAATGAATACAATCAAGATATAACAATTGCATAATCTCACCAGCTACTGGTTCTACTAGCTCCTCCTCTCCAGGTTTCAAATTTCTAACCATGATAATACCGCCGATTGAAACATCCTTCATTGGTACATACTGGCTGCTGTCATTGATAGAAATAACTTTGAGCTGTTGCCTCATAACTCTTGCAGGATTCTGAAGTATCTCAAAGTTAGGTTCAGGCTCTTTTTTCTTTTCTTCTTTTTCATCCTTCTTTTTCTCATCAGCGGTTGATGTGCCTGGTTTCTTTTCTTCAGATTTCTTATCATCGGCCTTCTTGTCATCGGTCTTCTTCTCCTCTTTTTCTGTAGTCTTCTTGTCCTCTTTCTCTTCTTCCTGAATAAGAAGACTTGATGAACCGACAGGGAAAGAAATTTATGATAACTTACTACTTCCATCTTCTCATCGCGATGTTTCTTCTCATGATCTCTCCTACGTTGTCTCGCAGCGATACTCAGTACAGCTGTAGTGACCTTCTCTCGCTCTTCGCGTTTCTTTTCTTCCATTGGAGCAGGATAAGCATACAAGCTAGGTTTGGCATTAGATTTGCATTCTAGTTTGGGCATCTACAATCGGAATCAATCAACATAGGACATTACATTCAACAGAAATAAATTACCTTGAGTTGAGCATTGAGTGCGATAACACATGTAGGAGTGAAGGCTAATGCCAAACAGTGAGACAGTGGGAACCAGTACCAATACTGAGTGAATACTAGAGTTCCTACTACTGCTAACATATTAGTATGTCCAGTTCTAGACTGTAGGGATAAAGTGACATTCCTACCACCAGCATCGATAATTCCTGAAACGAACAATCATTTTCTAGAGGCACCTAAATTGAAGATAAAATCCGCCACTAACCTTGTGCCAGAATGGCTCCAAACTTGGCCATAACATCCTCATGCTTATTGGCGATGACTTGTGCGTAGGTCTGCCTGAAGAAACTGACTTTGGAGCAGGTCTGATCGGTCTGTTGGATCAGAATCATGGCGGACGCTATGAGCGCGCCTTGACGGACGAAGTTGACTGGGTCGAACATGACCATGGGCTCCAAGAGGGCGATAGCTTCACGAAGACCTGTGCCAGCGCATGCGATACCTAGGGCCATGGCTGCACCATAACGGACGTGAGGGTTGTAGCTTTCGGCCAATAGGGAAACCACGCTGGGGCATTGCTCAGGAGTCCTGTAAAAGAAAATGATAGGAGATTAATTGCGGAATTCATCGCCTTTGCCATTGATATCACTCTGTAGTCAGGTATACTTATGGAAATACCCACTCTGTTTCAGTTGTTTGAGAAAACATAGTCATTATGAATTTTTCAGGGCACTGAGATATGAAGAATTACTATTTTATGTCAAAGACTTCAATATGCTCACATTCAATGAATGTGAAATGAGAATATGTTCTCCTTAGAGTAACCCCATGTGGGACGACAACACATTTTAACATGACCTCATGAAAACATAGGATAGAGACAGAAGGAATGCATTCATATGAATTCATCGTGAAACGCTTCGCTGCAAAATCCACATTTCAAGAGTTTTATTACGTCGTAAAACTCCAGTGGTATCAAACGAGAGTTTCCAAGAATGAGCTACTAAAATGAATGCAGGATATATAGGACTTTATGCAGAGAGGAAATTAAATTGATAGTGTCGTAAACAACCTATACTGCAGATCTTAACCATCATTGAATCATTGTTTGAATATTTGAAAACATATATATTCATGAGTATCTACAGGCAAAATGCATGCCATGACAGTGAAGTGAAATACGTACAGTTTCGGTATCAAAGGACTTCTCAAGAAGGATATTTTATGTGGAATCATTCAGAGAAACATTGGATACCTTCGACATCAATCCTTTGACCATTCCACGGAATCATTATCCTGGAATGAATCGATTATCATACAAGTCGGAAGTAATTCCAAGACCCTTCAGTCGTTTTCAGTTTTATTGCTCAACGTTCCTTGAAATAGTCATCAGAGAAAAGACCCAAGAAAGAAATTTCGTTGAATTCTTCCATTCTCACGATTTTCAGAATGCGAAAAAAAAACTTAGCTCATTACAAAGGTTAAATAGTCGTTCTTCTCGCAGTTATCGCGTCATTGGAAAGATTTGCAGCAAGCAGAGAACTGTGCCCTAATTTCTGCGTTTGTATGTATAGTACACGTAAATTCAACCCTAGTGATATGTTAACGGAGTTTATATTCTAACTAGCAGGCGTGCTCAACTTCCGTTTCCTATCGTGTACATTGTAGGATTTTCAAGAGCTGAAATTGCGGTGTCTCTGACGGCATGATAATGAAATGCATTTGAAGCCCGTCAGTAAGAACAAACTAATCCTAGGTATTTCATTGCTTGAAATTCTTTCATGAAGTAATGTCGAAGCAATGTAATGCTTTATGAAATTACCAATCATGTTGGTTTCGACATATTTTTCTTATTGTATTAAAGCTACAAACCGCATACTTTAAATAATTTTTCAATTTCACATTTTGAAGTAATGAGGATTAGCTAAACGGAAATTTGTCGAATAAAAATGTTTTGCATTTCACCGACTATTGGATCGATTTCAACAGAAAGAAATCATTGTGAAGATATCTAACAGAAAACAACTACTTTGTAACGTTATATTTTCGTATCCTTATTAAATAAATTTGAATTCCCGAAATAAAGTATTCATACCTATTATCATCGCATCTCGTCGTGTCATATCATAAGTTCGCCCTAAATCGTGGGTTTCTTTATGTAAAGGCAACAGTGGTCACCCATGACAGTGGAGATCGTTATTCCAGTAAAATAACCAAACACTTTCTCATTATGAATATCCAGTTTTCTTCAGGATTGTTAGGTATATCTCACCTTTTATTTTGTCTACTCAATCTCAATGTTTGTTAGGCTGTCCTCGAGCAATTTGATCAGCTATTCGGTATTGTTTTGTTTTTGGTATTGTTTTGATAACGCACTTGTTGCTTTCGCAGTCATACGGTGGCAGGCCAGAAGCTAATCAGCTGATGTCCGTCATATTATAAGTAATTATTAAGGAGAACTATGGGTGTTCCACTAATTTGTCTGTAGCGACCTTGGAATCAGGAGGTGTTCTTCATCTATATTTATTCACAGACACCGCACTTCAGAGATACACTGGGTAGGAGCAGACTCGGTCGAAGAATTTCGGAAAAGCTCGGGTATTCACCTGTCATTTGGAGTTCACATTCTGTGCCTATATGTTTTTCAAAATAGGAATTTGAATACTCAAGACGAGGAAAGAGATGGACTATTCATCTCGGATGAACTCAAGAGAAATTTGGAATTTTGTGGAAAGGGAGAAGGGTGCTTGACGTTGGAGAAAAAGAAAAGATGTCGGTCAGCCATTGATAAGTGCCTTTGTACATAAATGAATTTGACATTCATTCAATAATTTGGATATGTTGGCCTTATTTTAATGTGCAATATAGCTGTTGTTACCGTTTTTCACGTGTGTGATAAGAGAAATCAGCTAAATTGATCTTCTGTGGAAGGATTTGTTGGGCTACCGGCATGTGGTTCTGAGACTGAACCTCAAACTTTACTGCCTACTATATACCCTCGAACATCGCATGAGGGTTCATTTTCCTACTGGTGTTCATGGTGCATATTACGTCATCACCAATCGTTACATAATAAATTAGTGCTGCCGTAACGGTTTGCATTATCGGCCTAGTGATATGCATGACATAGGGAGAACTGCATGATACACTATATTTCCCTGAGACTATTGCTTATACTATTGCTTGGACTGCTTATTACTTGCATTGCTAGCCAACTATATTGCTACTTGCTTACATATAACCATTTGGAGTGGATGGTCAGATTGGATGAGCTGGGATGCTGCTGCCGTCATAATTACCACCTACAGATAAGCTGCATGCCTTTCTATTATATTTTTTTCTTTCGCTAAGGGGTTATAATCAATCTTTATATGTTGATATCGTCATCATGTCCTGTACATGATATATATATATATATATATATATATATTTCTTGTTTTTTTGAGGGGTTTAATCATATTCACTTTGAATTCAGTCATTATTAATTACTGAAAACTGTGAACTCTGCGTGTACACACAGGGGGGTATATTTTTATCATTAATTCTGCCCACATACATATATAATTTTTCAAGTACAATATTTACTCAGGAAACATTTTCACCCCCACATTGATGACGAAGTAACATAATAAGTGAATAAACAGATACGATAGTAATTGGGAAAGAGATGATGTGTTCTCATTGATAAACTCCTACCATCATTTTTTTTTGTTTGACGATACGGTTCAGAAAGCGGGACCCATCAAGATCAGGGAAGTTTTCCAACTTAAACTTGCCATATTATGTAAGTTGGTGGCGCCCTCAATAATTACTTTGTTTTTATAGAACTCACCCTATACCCGACTGAGTACTGAGCTACCCCTTTGCTCGTGCTTCAGGGCACCCGTTTTTGTTCTTTCGAGATAAGCACGTGGCAACTTTCCTGTCTAACACGAAAGAATACTAAATATCGGTGAAAATATTGGGAATACCTAATTTGAAAAAAAAAATTGAAATATGTGTGTGTCCAGATTTCGATGCTTTTGCCATCTCTTGCGCGATATCTCAGTTATAGTTGGATATATAGAGTGTTGCGGTTTTGACATTACTGACTTTATTTTTAGTGAGACGAATAATGCCGCAAACAGAATTGGCGAGTTGACTATTTTTTTTGCTTAAATAAAATTATCACTCAAATACCTCTCAGTTCAATATTTTTAAAGTATTTTTCAGTTGATTTTTAGGTGCTAAAATCATCGATAATGCCACTGTAAGTTTCGGCAATCCACACTAGAGGACATTCGAATCGGTGAACGTGACAACATGGCGCACGACATGTGGGCGTGGTCTTGGCAGTTCTCAGCATTCAGAACACTGTTGCCAAGTCGCCAACATTCACATGATATTTTGTTATGGAGAATTAGAAATATTTGGACATGGTGGCTGCTCGAAAAAGTCGAAAATGAACTATAATATCATGGGTTCCTGATATTATGTTTCATTCAACGAGAAATATGTAGGGTGTTCCATTTGAGATGAAATCATTACCATTAGGTCGACCAAACATCATTTCAAGCTTCTGTTCTCGTCAGAAGAATCAGAAAGGATAAAATCAACGAATGTTGATACATTAATTCTTTGATTGATGCAAAAGAAATAGTTCGACATGCCTTGTGTCATGAAGATATTGGTTTGATGTGTCGATATTATGATATAGTTTCTGTACTGTGTATAGTATATGTATCTGCATGCTTTTATTTGTGTTCTCAAAAATGAATAATTCTCATGCACGAAGTGTCCATCATTCCTGAAGAAAACTGTGCTATGCAACTCCGTAATAACCTATGTGGCACCTGCCCTAATTGCCGTTTTCCCTCATGTGTCATCTTGAGCGAAACTTCCCTAATCTCACGGCATATTATGACCGGCAATGCTCGGTATATGCTGCAGGAATTCAATTTCTCCTGCGACCAATCACACGAGAGATCAAGAGAATAGCCGCGCCATTGTTATTCGGCTCACACATGCCGGAAAGTTGCCGCGACCAACCTAATTTTACGAGGATTATGACCCGAAATTACCTTTGACTATGACGCTATGACGAACCAACAACGGTCCTAATAGCGCGGAGAACTTGGAATGATCCGAATGGGATACATACGGCCCGCTTCGTTTGGGCCGTCTTGTTCGAAATTATAGAGGTTGATTTGCCTAGGAGCGTTTCATTTCGTCACAAATGAACGGTAACTAGAGTTGAACTCCGTAGACTTGGGCGGGTTGCTTCCACATACTGATAATTGCAAGCAAATGACTGACCATTTGATCATGTTCTTGGTTTTTCAGCATTGAAGCTGACAGGTGGGTAGAACCTCGTACTCTCTCAATTATAGCCAACCAGTGTGGTCAGACTTGATCGTTATTTATGTATCCTGTTTTTGTATATGGAGAAAGAAAAGCATGAAAGAAAATAAACCTTTGATCCGCTTTGTTCCAATAATGCTTGTCTTAAGAAAAAAGTTCCTGATCAGAAGAACCTAACGAGAGCAGAAGATTAACATAATGTTAAGTCGACCAAAAAGCATCAGATATGTCAGAAATGAAATGTATGCCGACAAAATTAATTCAGAAGAAAATCCCGAAATTCCTGGTAATATCCGAGAGCTAGCAGCATTTATTACCAGTTAATTGCTGCTCTAGTATTTCACCATTATATTTTCATTCTCAACGAAGTGTAATAAAAAATATCGTTCATTACACGTCCAAAAGTGATTTTTCCCACGACCCCCTATATAAGCAGCACACTGTGTTGTTGCTCAAAAAGTATCTTATATCATCATAGCAATGCTGAAGTGAAAACGATCAGTGTGGCAATAATCCCGCACGCTCACGTGATCTTTGTTTGGTCTATATAATGTATGGATGATTGAAATATTGAATTATCATATTTGAATACTTATACCATCATTGTATTCAATTTTGTTCGGGTTTAAATCATGTCCCAATTATGTCCCATGGGAACTAATAATTGTTTAGTAGTATTTGTTAATTTGTTATAAGCTGCGAGACATAACCTCATTGCTGTCAATGCTAGCATTGCCACACCGGTGTGGCTTAGCTCTATATACACCGTCGTGACCCGACGACTCGATTCTCTGCTGTATTTTTGGTTGCGTGGTAGCTCTGGTCCAAACTCACGACAACGATGAAAACTTCGAATTCAATGAAAAATATGATTTCCAAACCGTATCACTTTTAAT